TCTGCCCATGGTGATTCATTCCCATGTCACATATTTCTACACTCTCCCTGCTATCCCCAGAGTATTCCTAATCCTGTCTGGCCAGTTCTTCCACAAATTCCTCTGCAGCTTTTCCTGACATCCTCTGAAGCCGGTGTCACTGGTGTATCCATAAGCAGGGGCAAATATGAATTGTCGCCCCTTCCTTGGAGAGAAACCATGGACTCTCTGAGGGCCATCCTCCCCACACCCGGACGATGGAGGATGCCATGTGGCTGCTTTCTGCTATGACCTGTATGGATATCCTCTCCAGGGGCAGGCTCTTTGTCTCCTGGTCCCGCCAGCTTTCTGCCTTGTCCCTACCTGCAGTGTGTTCTTTTCTTTTTTTTCCTTCCTAATCCGTTCTTATCCTGAAGCCAGCATCTTCACCTAGATCAAAACCTTTTGCATTTAAAAATACTGATAAAGTCATACAATATTGCAGTTTTTGCTATGCAGTTAAAACCCTGCCACGTTTGCAGGTAAGATTTAAATGTTGGGATGTAATTCATAGTATTTTTTTAATGTATATTATTTTTGAGAGAGAGAGACAGAGTGTGAGTAGGGGAGGAGCAAAGAGAGGGAGACACAGAATCTGAAGCAGGCTCCAGGCTCTGAGCTGTCAGCACAGAGCCCAAGGCGGGGCTCGAACCCACGGACCACGAGATCATGACCTGAGCTGAAGTTGGCTTAACCAACTGAGCCACCCAGACTCAGAATTGGGATGTAATTCATAAAGGAAGAGGCCTGAGAAGCTGTACCGGAGGCCCTGGGTACAATGTGACCCATTTACACAGTTTTGTGCCCACACAATTGCCCCGTGCATGTCCCTGTAGACCTCATACTGAACTGCAGGATGCTCGCTCTAGGTACCACCCACCACTTCCTTAGTTCCTGGCTGTGTCCCTTATGACCTTCCAATCCCGAGTATGGTAGGAGAGGAAGGGGAGATCTTGGCTCATCCCCACCAGCACCCACCCTCCCTGCTGCCTCTCTCTCCCGCCTGCATTGTTTCTTTATCCATAGGTCTTTTCTCAGAGCCTCCTTTAAATCCAGGGTACACTTTATCCAAAAGGACCTCCTGCAGCCTCTCTCCATCTTCTCCACATCTCCCTGACACCACCACCTCGCCTTCACCCCTTCACTCGGGCAGCCTGACTTAGGGGATCTGAAACTGGATGGCATATGGAACTCTTGATTTTTGGGGCGGGGGGCGGTGGGGGGAGGGAGAGGAACAACTGATCCAACCAGTGGAGTAGGTCAGAGCCTGGAAGCAAATACTGGCTGTCACAGAGGCCAGAGCCTGAGGCTGCTTCTCCCCTATCTGGGCACTAGAGCTGAGTATCCACAGAGGGAGGTGGCCACAAGGCTGGCAGGTGGGATAAGATAGAGAATGTCCCATGCTAAAGGCCCAGCCTGGGGCCCAGTCCCATACATGAGTTAGGGGCGGTGTTGAGGGGCTGGGGAAGGAGGTGCTCCTCTGTGGCCCAGGGAAGGTAGGGACCCAGCACCTCTCAAAGCATTTTCCATTGGTACATCAGTGGATGGGTTTCATGGTGGCTTCAGTCTGTGAACTCATGAGATAAAAATGCTAACCTCTTTTATGGCATTCTTGCTATTGTAAACTTTTATTTACTCTCCAAACAGCTGAATTATAAGCACTGCAACCCTTGTCCCCCCTTGAGGGCAGGCCTGGGTTTCTACTCTACTTTGGGTGGGGGATCAGCTTTCATAGGTTTTCATAGGTTTTTTCTTCCCTCCCTTACTCCCCTTATTTTTTTTTCTTTTTTGGAATCCACACAATCCAGGGATTCCCCTGTTTGGAGCTGTTTAAGCAGAAATATACTGGTGAGAGCAGCCTGGTAGGGATTCTTGCCCCCAAGGGAGGCCGCTGGAGATCCCTGCAGCCTCCAAGCTTCTGCCTGAACTCAGGGTTGTCTTCCTGGAGCCACTGCATGTGGCAGCTGTACTGTCCCCACACAGGTGCCCCAGACTGTACTGTTCTGATGAGCCTCAGAGCCTTCCAGGGCCACGTGTTTCTGGAAGACCTTCACACAGCCCGACTTTTCCAAGCATAGCCACGGGGCTGGCAGTCCAGGCACCTGGGCTTACACAGACTAGGCAGCAGGGGGTCTGGGTGTTCACACCCTGGCTCCTCAGACCTTGCTCAGAGCGGGGTGCAGGGGGGATTTGGGGTCTGCTTTCAGAATACAGAGATCAAGCTTAACTGAGGGGCCTGCCGAATCTGTTGTGCATTTGGGGGTTGTAGCTGGTGAGTATACACCCACCAGTGTTTTGTGACAGACTATGGTTAGAGGTCTCCCGAGTGGTGTGGTGATAAAACAGTGTCTCGGGCATGGGCATGGGACAGACTTGAACTTGACTGCAAGAGCTTGGGCAAATTCCTAACCTCTGTAAAGCCTCCGTTTCCTCACCTGTTAAACCGTGTGTTTCCAGAGGCTGGACCAGAAGGCAGGGAGGCTGGGAGGTGCCTAGATTGTGGGTAATCATGACGATGAAATGAGATAGCACATAAGTGGTACCCGCCCCCACTCGGGGGCTGAAGGAGGTCTGACCCCTGTCCTCTGGTCTGGGCCCCTCTGGAAAGCAGAGGTCTCACCTCTCATCACCAGAAGCTGTGCCTGAACAGAGATTGCAGAGAGATGCTCGGGCATTAAGCTATTTACCAGGGGACTTGGAGGGTATAGAGAGCAACTGTTCTATTCCGTGTTGCTCAAATTATGAATAAAAACCCAGTTGTCTCTCATCTGTGGAACATGGTGGTTTTTGCAAACTCTGATTAGTTCCCAGAACGCCTTTGTGAGTTTGGCAGCTGGTAGCTTATGGGTGAGGGACCGAGCAGATGGAGTAGCTTGCCCCACAGCTGGGGTAGTGGCCCCCCATGTATTCCAGAGAGTCAGTGTCCATCCCTGCTCCGTCCTGGCTGCATTTGTACAGTATTTGCTTTCCTGTCTTGGTTTTGCTCTAGCAGAGATCGATATGGAGACCAGAAACGGTGCTGGCTCTGCTCTCGATGACTGACCGGATATGGGGCCAGGGAGGGAGGCTGCAAGGTAAGTTCAGGGACAGTTTGCGACAGGCCAGCAGTGCCTCCTCAGAGATATGCAAAGAATTCCTGTGTTCTTTATGTTACTCTGGGTCACTGGCTGACTTTGGCCCAGAGTAGTTTGTGGCAGTACCAGCGAAGTCAGGTCGTGACAGGTTCCCAGCTGGCAGTGTGGAACCTCTAAAACCTTTCCTGGCCTTGGCAGGAATGCTTCACTTTGATGCTTGGTGTGTGGATTGCAGACTCGACTGTTTAAATATATCCAGAGGAACCCTAAGAGCCATGCTTCCAAAATGAGCAGCAAGAAAGAATTGCACGGGGAAGGCATTTGATTTTACTCCCGTTCTCTCCTTGCCCCCCGCCCCTACTCTAGCCCAATATCTGGTTCCAGGATGGTGTAGCAGTACTCGGGAAATCCCTGCCAGGCCTCCAGGAAAAGGAGTCTGAAGTTTTTATGATGTTTCTTGTTTCAAAGGCCTAGCGTGATTACTTTACCTGTTGCGAGTATCTTTCTTGCCTGAGAGTCCAGGCCTTCTATGTCTCTACCCTGAGTGAAAAGGGGAGGGGGATCCTGGCAACATGCATAGCAGAGGTTTGGATTAGTCCTGTGCAGCAGGCGGTGACAGCACAGAACCTTGCTTGTTTTCTGTTCTGCCTTGATTCAGCTCCCTTCCAGGCTAACCCACAGGTGGCCCAGCCTGTGCGGGGCCACCATGGCATCTTTTTGCCTTTCAGTTTTAGGAAGTCAGTCTAACTTAGTTCATGCTGATTGCATAACTCCCAAGAGCTTCCTTCTTCATTAGAACTTTGCTGCTGTTTCTGGAAACTTTTGGTACTTTAACGTGAGGTCACATAAGGTCATCTATCTAAGAGGCAGCTTCATGGGTGTGTGACCTGTGTAGTCTCACAGAGTCCCATGTTCAGATGCCCAGAGCTTGGGGTTTTAGTGCTATGCAGCAGTAGTCTTGAAATTTTTAGTGATTTTATCTTTGAATTTATAGTTTGGAAGTGAACTCCAATGGGACAATGGAGTGTGTCCTGGGAACTTGGAGCCTTGGCCCAAGTTGATCGTATCAACTACCATCTATCAGTGGGTTCTCGCCCCTGCCACACTCTGCCCCTGTTAGGGCCTGGACACAAGAAAAGTTGGTGTTAGGTGCGTGTACCCCATGGCATCTCAGGGCAGGGCATGGTGGCAGCTGTCCCCACACTGGGCTGCTAGCTCCACGGCCTGCCTGTTCAGTGGGTGACTAGACAGGGGCAAGGCTCTCCTCCACCCCTGATCGAGGTACCTCATGATGCTTTCTGACCACGGAGGCTCTAATACCCTCGGGGGGTCAGCTGTCTGCCTCAGTTGGGGTCCCTGAGAAGAAGAAATACCTGTATGGATTGCCCTGCCCCATCTGGGTCACAGCACATCTGTGTAGCTTCTGGCAGGAAGGAAACCCAGCGGTGGGTGGTCGCCCGTGTATTCACTCACTTGTCACGAGGGCCCCCACGTGCTCAGCCTGCAAGAATCCTCAAGCCTCAAAGAGAGAGATCATGACATGCACAACAACGTGAATGGACTTAATGCCACTGAACTGTATACTTGAAAGTGGTTAAAACAGTAAATTTTATGTATGTTTCACCACCACAAAAAAATTACATGGTATTAAAAAAACACCAGAACAGGTGGAGAGAGACCATGGAAGGAAGGCAGGAAAAAACTTTATAGTTTTTTCCTGATTTGTGAATAGGGGACCCACCTTTTAATTTTGCCCTAGCCCCCCCCCCCCCCAAGCTATGTAGCCAGGCCTGCCTTTTGGCCACTTTGTAAAGTTGCCTGGTCTTTACCTTTCAAGCAGCCTGCCCTCGAGTCCTGAAAGTGTTTTGCTGAGCAGATGCTTACCTTTCCTCTCTTCTCCCCACACAGGTCTTCTGTCGGCTGTGTGCCAGGCCCTGGAGAACAGCACGTCCGCCCTGAGTGGTGAGTCCTGTCCCCTCCAGGGGAGATGGTGTGGGAATACAGGAAGGGGGCAGGCCTTGGCTATTTTGTGGAGCCTGCTCTCTGAACTTCCTCTGGGGCTCCTGCCCTCTATGCTCACGCGGGGCTGTCCCCTGAGCCCTTGCTGCCTTCCACCCCAGGGCCCGATTGCGTTCCTGGGGGGTCTCCACTGCGGGAGCAGGAGGGCTGTTCCCCCTCCCTCAAGGTTCGCCATCTCCCATCTCTGCTCCGACAGTCTGTGTGGGCAAGCGTCGTGGACAGCAGAGCCTACAGGACCCGAGATCTCAGAACCATCCTCAGTTTCCCCGCTCATGTAACCATGCATCTGAAATGGAACCCAGATTCCTAAACCCTTTTGTCTGCTTCTGCCTGGTGATCTTTGTTTCGTTATTTTATGGCTTATCTTTGACATTTCTAGTAGTATTTCCCTTATTTCATTTTAAAGATCCTAGATCAACATATTAGAAGGTTTGGGAAATGTAGGAGGCAGACCTCCCCTGGTCAGAATACCACAGACACATCCAGTATTGCATTGTGCATTGCTTTTAGCCTTTGTCCAGGTGCACTCATGTTTTTATACAGTTAATCTTGGTGAGAGAACTATTCTGATTCCTGCTTTTTAAATGCAAGTTTTGGAGTTGTGCATTTTTCCATGTCGCTGGAAGGTCTTGAAATGTATCCTTTTAAAATGTCATGATGTTCCATCAAGATGGATAGATGTGATTCAATTAAGCATTCCCCATTGGATATTTATGCTACCCCCACTTTAAATTATGATGCTACCTGTTCATGCCTAGAAGCTTTTTCTTCTTAGATTTCTTTCCTCAGGATATCTCTGGGAGCAAGAACAAATTTATTTATGACCCTTGTAACAAATCGCCAGATAGCTTTCTGAGGGAATTAAGCTAACTTTAATGTCAGCAGTGCATGAATCTTCCAGGTTCACTATTCCCTTGGTGACATGGAGTATGCTGTCATCTGTCACTGCAGTGGACACCTGCTGTATCTCCCTAGTTATTTCAGGGAGGTATATGTGGTGGTGGTGGGGGGGGGGGTTGTTCTTATATATTCATAAATTCTCTCACCAACCACACAGTGTCCCTGGTACTTTGCTCTTCTCTTCCAGACCTTTCCCTCCAAACACACTGGAGGTATGACTCCCACTGGGTACCACTGATTCTGTAGTCCCACAGACTGCCCCTTGGAGCTGTTGTCCTTGATGCAATTGAACTCTTAAGGTGTCCAAACCACTTGGTGGCCCGTGATGCTACAGAAGAAAATGCCTTACTTTCTCTATATTCTATATTTCTGGGGCTGGGGTGGAAGGGTGTGTCCATCCCAAAGCAGTACTTCCCAAAGTCCAGGATCTATCAGAGTTTCTACTTTTTAATGACCTCCCCCATCACAAAGGGCTCAGATGTGAATATATTGGGGGTAAAGGAGGGGCATTGGTTTATGACTCCACCATGCTGGTCTCCGAATTGTCCTATCTCCCTTCCTAGGATCCCTTTACCCCCAGATGCATCCTCAGCCTCTCCTGGTCCTCACTGTAGGACCTGGTAGGTTAGAGCCAGGTCGTCTACTGAGTCACTCAGTAAGTGATGTAGGCAGTAAGTTGCAGTGATGGCAAATACTGATGCTACCATCCATGGGGAGAGGGGGCTCCTCCTCCCAGTCTCCAGCCATTCATACAGACTACAGACAAGAAAGGCCTGGGGGATGTTGTACCTGAGCCTATTCTCTCAGCTGTGGCTCCTGCCAAGATCCTTTGGGGTTTCCCCTGTCTCTCCTGGGCAGACATGAGGAGACCTGCTATATTCATCCCAAAATTACTGTCCTTGGTGCACTAGTGACCAGCTTCTGTTCCATCTTCTGGACTTGCTTCTGTGAGAATGCCTCTGATATCAACAAGTACTTGAGGTTTAGTCTTCCTCATTGTGTATCTTCAAAGAACTAGTCACACCCTACTGTGTTGCACATTACCCTATAACTGGCTGAGGGCCACTCTGTGACCCAACGTGGTGGGTGAGAGCAGCGGCAATGCCACAACTTCTAGTGTCCAAGGGACCTGAGGATTCCAGTGCTGGTGGACAGTCTATGGAGAAGGGAAGTGCGCTGCCTGCCTGGCCTCTGCATTACTCTCTGTTTGATGGGTCAGTTAGCCATGGGACTTGTGCCCCAGAGAGGTTGGTGGAATAGCTCTATCCATTTTTACTTACTCTCCACCCTGCCTCTCTGGACCCAGACATGAGTCCAGAGAGAGCTGGGCTGGGAGACAAATGGCAGTGATGGTATCATAGCCACCTCTTCAAGGACTAGGGCTTTGTGACTGAATCAGGCTTGTTTGCTTAACTTCCTCTTCCTTTAGAGTGACCTTCCTTCTCCCCGAAGACTCCTCAGGCCCTGGGAGGCCTTGAGCACTCCCATCCCACCCCGACTCTGACCTTACCAGACATAACTGAAATCCTGTTGTGGGTGCAGTGCAAATGGGGGACCACCCCACCAGCCATATTCACCACCCCAACATCGAAGTGTGTGTATTGAACTCTAGGCTAATTCAATAAGTAAAACTATTTGTTACTGTTAACTATGGAAATCTTCATACCCAGAAGTAATAATGAAATCAGTCCCCACATACCTGTCACCCAGCTTCAGCAGTTACCATCGCTCTGCCATTTTTCTTTCATCTGTTCTCACGCCATTTTGGTTTTTTCCCTTTGCTGGGATATTTCAAAGCAAAGCCCACTTCACTTGTGAATGTTACTTCTCTCTCACAGATAAGGACTTTAAAAAACAAACCGATAGTCCCGTTACACCAGTAAAAACAACAACAATCCCTTTTTGTTCGATCCTTAAATATGGAGGGTAGATGATGCTGCATTCAGTTTTTCAAGCTGTACTTTCAAGCTCTATTTAATTTGCATTTCCTTTAATGTTTTCATATTTTGCTTTCTATTTAGTTTCCTTTCTGGTGAACACTGTTTTTGTAAAGTGTGCTCATTTGTATCCTGGATGACTGACTCACATCTGAGTCCCTCCTAACCCCTTATCATCTGGATGTTGGCAGGCTCACTTACCACTTACTGAGTCTCAGAGCTGTGCATTGAGGTGTAAAGATGGGTTGTTGTAGGACAAGAGCTACAAGGCTTTACCCATGATGTGAATATTCAGGTCTCTTCACTCAAGCGTTGACAGGAATGAGAAACAATATTGGTTATAAGAAGGCTTTGATACATTCTGTGCTGGAGCATAGACGTACTCAGGATTCAGCTCTCACTTCTTGATGGAGCAGCATAGAGAGAAAATTACAAACTCTGTATGCCAATCAAGGGTGGTGTGTGCACTTGAGGGAACATGGGACTGATCCCATGTGGCTTTCTTGTGCTTTTTGGGAAAAAAAAAGTTCCATGCACTTATTACTTAACAGTTACCCTTGGCCTGTCTTGTTGAAGTTTCATTGGTTTCTTCCAATCTTCCTCTCTCTTAGACCCCCAAATGTGAAGGGTAAATTATGCCAGAGGCAGAGGAAACTGGCATCGTTGTCGTCAGTAAATGCTTTTCAGACCTCCATTTTGAGTGGGACACTGGAGCGATACATGCCTTAGGCTGGAGGTCAGGAATGCTGTGCGTTGGGGCCCAACTGGTCTCAGTTTTGCCAAGACCCTGGGCAAGTTGTTCATCTGGTTCCTGTTTGGATCTGAGTTTCCTCATCTATTGGACTTGAATCAGGAATAGCCTATAAGATTTTTCACACAACCACTCTGATAAATTGGTAGAGACTGCTTGGAAAGCTTTGTTCAGAAGGATTATAACTCTGCCTTGAGGCTGTTAGGAAATATGGTCACGATCAATTATTGGTGAGGCCTGCCATGGACCCAAGGTGGAGAAGCAATGGTGTGACTGCCATATATTTAATTCTCTTGGAACCAGATTTTCTTTTACATTTCAGTTCTAACATTCTAGTTGAAGAAGCAGACCTTCTTCATCCTTGTCCTCAAGGAGCCCACCACACAGGTGACAAGAGAGCGTGGGAATCCATAATGCGAGCCTCATTATGACCTGAGGCCACCTCAGCTGACTGCTTCGTGGGTGATTTAGACAGTAATTGCTGTGGGAGTGAAGTCAATAGTCTGGGGGTTAGGACAGAAAATTTGTAACTGGTTGGTTGTTAATTTGTAAAGCACACAGAGAAACATAGCTGGAGGCAGAATGAGGGTGACAGAACCTACAGCTTAGAACATCCATCACACCCTCCCAAGGAAGGAGTTACGACCCATCTTCAAAAGGCACCTTTTAATGCCCCTTGAAAGGGACAGAATGCACCCGGTTAAGTTGTTGTGTGGCTCCTTGCTTAACCCTCCGAAATGTTGTGCATTTCCCAGGCTGCCCATCTGGTTCTCATGTTTTCATGAGACTCTAATGACTGAGGGGTGTGGTAAGGGCCTTGTTCAGACACCTGGCAGCAGGCTCCGGGCTTCGCTCTGCTATCTGCCTTGCTTGATCTGCGTGCCTCTTTACCTCTGAATTTCTCCTTCCTCTAGCCGTGTCTGACACCACCTAGCTGGAATCAGGAAGCCTTTGAAGGCCCGCTTGAGTTAGCATCTGGGACTTTTCAGAGGTGGTGGTGAAAGAAGATGGTGAAGATGTTCTTTGGGGGTGTCGTTCGTGGGGAAGGTCACCATGATCGCTGGCTTGGGGAGGTGGTGGCCGGATTTGGGTGAGGACATCCGGCTTAACGATACAGAGAAGGTGAGCTCAGGCTGAGGGCACACAGAGGGAGGGAAATCAGATCATATGGAAAAGCCTTTGAAGGCGTTACTTGTTTGAGAAACAGGTAGAATGTGGATCAGCCAGCAAGCAAGAGATCTATTGATTGCTCATCTCCCCTAACAAAAGCTTTTCAGAACTGCAAACTGCTTCCCCGTTCCATTGTCTGGAGTTTTCCCATGTGGAGCTGGAGTCATTCTAAAATTAGAAGGCTC